TCATCAGAGAACATGATCACCAAGCAAAACGATGTAGTCCATTCAAGACTGACTGACTCAAGCAAGGACAAGAGTAAATGAGGGAAGAATGAGAACTCATAATAATCTCGGAGAGTACATATGAAGTGAGCATGGCCTGCACCAGTCAAGAGTCCTCACGCATACCTCTGCGTCATTCACTCAATCTCTCACTTGGCTGCATGTTTCTTGTGCCTTGAGCCGTGTCCACGTACTCCCCGAGATTGTGGTCTCTGGATATAGAGCCACCTAAAGCCTGCAAGTTCCGAACACTTTCATCCAAGGGTCATAATACGGAAGTCAACCATAGCGCAAAACTTATATGGCCTAGAAAAAATCCCTCGTCCGAGATGTCGAAACTCTGAAGACTCTGTCACTGCCTCATAGTCAATTGCTGCAGGGGAGGTATACCTCTTTGCAAGATCAACCAGGTCACTCCAACAAGAACCGTCAGTGAGAGGAAGAGGCACTGTTGGCCTGGGGTAATCCATGTAGAGCTTAGGCCCGAAACTGCGGATCAGCTTCTTTCCACTCTCGTCGAACTCTCTCTCCTTCTCCTCGAGACACCTGGCCGCTGCAACCCAAACTGAGTCAATGTTCGCATGGGTCTCTCTCCCTTTCCTCACATAGGGCCTCAGGTTGTGGACAGTGCCTGCGGCAAAACTGGTGAGGACGACAAAGATTGACAGGCCCTCGCCCCTGAAACCGATGGCACTGACATACCGATAATGAAAAGCATCTCTAGTAGCAATCTGGTTGAGGCTTGCCGGAACTGACTCACTGACTGCTGAAGACTGGACTGCACTCATGGACTGATGTGGTCGCTGAAACCGGTCCAAAGTTCCCTAAGAGAAAAGCACGGTTTAGCTGAAACTAATCTTTGGGACCAACGAATGATGGGGGGTGGCTGGCTGACTCTGACTAGAGCTGTGTGAGAATTCAGATGACAGGGTGCTGATTGGATAATAAGTTACCCGGTGCGCAAAAACTCAGATAGTCCAGTATTGCATGGAAATTGATTGAGCGCTGAGTTGAAGGTGTCAGAAATGCCAACTGGATTCTTGATTGATCAATGCTTGAATACTAGATGCCCGCTTGATCAAGTAACACTTGAGTAGTAACTGAATGCCAGAGGGAGATAACGATTGGTTGAATAATGTTTAATTGAGTAGTGCTTGATTGAATAATGCTCTATTGAATAATGCTCTATTGAATAATGCTCGATTGAATAATGCCTAATTGAATGATGCTCGATTTTTCAGTAGTCATCATGTGTCCCCATTTTGTCATGTTCGCTTTTGCAGTATCCCTCATGACACAACCGAATACTCTCTCTTTCCTCACCCTCACCGTTGATTATTGGTGGCCTCTCGTGCTCGATCCACCGTTTCTGCTGATGAAAAAGTGCTATGCAATCGCCCGTCAGAACCGCAGAGGTAGAAGGTATATACAATAGCCTCGTGATTCTTCACTAACCCTAGCGCCCCTTCACTTATTAGTTTCCAGACTTGCTGAATGTTACTGATTGTCTCGTTTTCCCAGTCGTCTCTTTCGTCTAAAAGGAGGGAGTAAGTTACCTTCAACTTGCCCTTTCTCTCCGTAATTCCTTCTCATCTCTTACCGAGACCCACTGTCCAGGTTAATACCTCGTGACCACTTCACAAATTTTTGCCTGTTCGCTATCAGACCAGCCTTGAGCCCTGGGGCGGTCGGATAGGCGTTAAAGTTTTTTTTTAATCTGACTGAGTCAATGTCATTCTGAGGCAGTTGACAGTCCACTGAGTATGGACTGAGGACTGTTCGTGAGCTTAACCCTACCAACAGTCCTCCTGACTCAGTCCCTCAGCCTCCTCTGAGTCTGAACACAGTGCTGCTGTCTAGCTCTGTATCCTTAGGTCTGTCATTCTCGAGTCGATTTAACCCGGGACTGCAAGCCTGTCGGTCCAATGGGCTAGCTTTGTTTCCTTTCTGTCAATAGTAGATCCCCAGTCCATGCACTTCAACGTGTAGGGCCGTCGTCCAGGTCACAGGTGAGGCATTCTTAACATGTTCCCACTTCACCCGTCTGCATAGACCCATTACACTGCCTTGTACAAAGAGGGAAAGCGCATTGAGCCTCTTGGCGGCTGTTAGGCGCAAGTCCTAGTCACCATTTTCCAACTGGCTCTATTGCAGAAAACGGGCGTCTGAGTGAAAACGGCTATTGCTCCGCCTGAACTTGATCACCCAGTCCAAACACTCCATCAGTTTTCATTGCTTGACTGTGGACAGAGTAGCTTGCGTCAAGGGCGGGGCCACGGGGTACAGGTATTCCCTGCATGGACATGATTGTGGCCAGATCTTTACCATTCAGGTTTTTGTTTTTCTGTGTCATTTTTTCTGTAGGAGGGGGGGGGGGGGGTTGCAACCTCCAGCCCACTTAGCATTGCCCATTTTTTTCTGTATGAGGCAGCCATAGCTGCCATAGCTGTAGTTAGTAGTGAGTGTGTGTGTGTGCTCGAGTGTTAGAGTGATGCGTGTGGGATATCCAGGGTGATCCAGTGTATGTGAACAGTGAGATGTTTGGGCGCTGAAGTCGCCATAGCCAATTGAGAGTGAACTTGTATCTGAAAGCCATATCTCTGAGTTTTGAGTGGCCGCATGTCACCAGTATGCTGCGTTGCTGTTTACATGCATGAAAAGTGTGTTTGAGAACGAGTCTGATTGCAATCGTGACGTCCAGTCCATATACCATGACCTGGCCCACGCCACATAATACTTCCCAGTCCACATGGTATGACCCATCCCAAATGTTGCGGCCCAACCCACTTAGCATCACCCAGGTGACACAGTACCGCCACCCACATAGTACCAACCGGTCCACATATTATGCCCTGCCCCACATAGTGCACCCCAACACTCATCCCACACAGTGCTGCCCAACCCTCATCGCACACAGTACTGTCCAATCCACATGCTATGACCCACCGCACGCGGTAGAGGCCAACTCACATGGTATCATTGAGGCCACGTGATAATGCTTAGCCCATATAGTACCGCGTGGCAGTGGCAACAGCCAAATTGTGCCAGATGTTGGCCATGTGCTTTTCTTTTTCTTGCTTTTGCCGTCGTGATGTCTCTGTTCTTTTCTTTTCTTTTTTCAGCGGGGGTGGCGGGGGGGGTGTCCGTTAGTGCCATCCAGTCTGCATAGTTTGACCCACTCCACATTGTGCTGCTGGGTCCGACAGCACATGAGTGGGAAGAGGAGAAGAGCATGGTGGAGGAGGAGGGCCACACCCGGTGAAAATAGGTACAGGGCAGCAGTGATTCCTGCAGTGAGACGCACCCACGGAAAATCAATCCCCGGACAGATTTGGCACATGACCGCTGGATGCGGCTGCATGCCAGATTTGTAAACATTCTCCAGCTCTGTAAACCTCGTTCTTAGATCAGTGTGCTGATCCTGTTTTGCATGTGCTATATCTGGCACATGCAAAACAGCACGATCTATCAATCTGCATGGGTCCAGAGACCATTATACCACGAACCAGTCATCCAGATGTCATGGTTACCAATGTACTCGTCACCTTTGACAAAGGTAGAAGAGAGATGTCCCATTCCCATAGACAAAGGTAGAGAAGAGTTCCCTGTCCCCCATAGACAAAGGTAGAGAAGAGATACGTTGCTGCTGCTTATATTATCAAAAATGTCTGATTACATCAACTTCCAGTCTCTCAAGTTCATCACAACAGCTCATAAATCAACTCTGTTCATCATCCCATCAATATGGAGACCAGCGCAGCAACATCATCATGTCGAAGTACAGCATTACTCAGGTAAGTGACATCTTCTCCTCTCTCTCTCTCCTCCTTACTTCTTCCTCTCTCTCACGGGCACATTATCTCTCTTGTCTCATGAAGATCTCG